CATCACTAATTTCATGATGATCACTGCTGTGCGTGAGTAATTCCATTGTAGGCTTGCTGGACGGTGATGGGTTGGATGAGATTTATCATGTAATCGAGTTAGTTTTGTTAGGGTTTGATCCCTAGTATCCACTATGTTCTGAGATTGATGTTGCTATGACTTTGCTATGCTTAATGCTTATCACTAGGGCCCGAGTGCCATGATTTCAGATCTGAACCTATTATGTTTTCATCAATATATGAGAGTTCTTGATCCTATCTTGCAAGTCTATAGTCACCTATTATGTGGTATGATCCATTAACCCCGAAGTGACAATAATCGGGATACTTACCGGTGATGACCGTAGTTTGAGGAGTTCATGTATTCATTATATGCTAATGCTTTGTTCCGGTTCTCTATTAAAAGAAGGCCTTAATATCCCTTAGTTTCCATTAGGACCCCGCTACCACGGGAGGGTAGGACAAAAGATGCCATGCAAGTTCTTTTCCATAAGCACGTATGACTATATTCGGAATACATGCCTACATTACATTGATGAATTGGAGCTAGTTCTGTGTCACCCTATGTTATGACTATTACATGATGAACCGCATCCGCCATAATTATCCATCATTGATCCGATGCCTATGAGCTTTCCATATACTAGTTTATGCTTATTTACTTTCCCGTTCCTATTGTTACAATCACTACAAAATACCAAAAACATTACTTTGCTTTCGTTACTCTTTTGTTACCGTTACCGTCACTATCATATTACTTTGCTACTAAACACTTTGCTACAGATACTAAGTTTCCAGGTGTGGTTGAATTGACAACTTAGCTGCTAATACTTGAGAATATTCTTTGGCTCCCCTTGTGTCAAATCAATAAATTTGGGTTGAATACTTTACCCTCAAAAGCTATTGCGATCCCCTATACTTGTGGGTCATCAGCGCTCGAAACCCCTTCCGCTGACCCGATATGTACCTGAAACCCTCCGGAACACTTCCGATGTCCGAATACTATCGTCCTATATATCAATCTTTACCTCTCGATCATTTAGAGACTCATCGTCATGTCCGTGATCTCATCCGGTACTCTGAACAACATTCGGTCACCATATCACATAACTCATATAATACAAAATCCTCATCGAACGTTTAGCGTGCGGACCCTACAGATTCGAGAACTATGTAGACGTGACCGAGACACCTCTCTGGTTAATAAACAATAGAGGAACCAGGATGCTCATATTGGCTCCAACATATTCTATGAAGATCTTTATCAGTCGAACCGTTATGACAACATATGTTATTCCCTTTGTCATCGATATGTTACTTGCCCGAGATTCGATCGTCGGTATCTTCATACCTAGTTCAATCTCGTTACCAGAAAGTCTCTTTACTCGTTCCATAATACATCATCCCGCAAGTAACTCATTAGTTACGTTGCTTGCAAGGCTTCTTATGATGTGCATTGCTGAGACGGCCCAGAGATACCTCTCCGATACTCGGAGTGACAAATCCTAATCTCGATCTATGCCAACCCAAAAAACACCTTCCAAGATACCTGTAGAGCATCTTTGTAATCACCCAGTTACGTTGTGACGTTTGATAGAACATAAGGCATTCCTCTGGTGTCCGGGAGTTGCATAATCTCATAGTCAAAGGAATATGTAAATGACATGAAGAAAGCAATAGCAATAAAACTGAACGATCAATATGCGAAGCTAACGGATGGGTCTTGTCCATCACATCATTCTCCTAATGATGTGATCCCGTTCATCAAATGACAACACATGTCTCTGGTTAGGAAACTTAACCATCTTTGATTAACGAGCTAGTCTAGTAGAGGCTTACTAGGGACACGGTGTTTTGTCTATGTATCCACACATGTATCAAGTTTCCGGTTAATACAATTCTAGCATGAATAATAAACATTTATCATGATATAAGGAAATATAAAATAACAACTTTATTATTGCCTCTAGGGAATATTTCCTTCACGTACTAGCTCCTTGTGGGCTGGCATGTCCCTCCCTTGGCCCATTAAGCCCATATCTTTGCCGGGGGTGCCCGGAACCCCTTCGGGTGACCCTATATGTACCCGGTACCCTCCGGAACACTTCCGGTGTCTGAATACCATCGTCCTATATATCAATCTTTACCTCTTGACCATTTCGAGACTCCTCGTCATGTCCGTGATCTCATCTGGGACTCCGAACAACATTCGGTCACCAAATCACATAACTCATATAATACTAAATCGTCATCGGACGTTAAGCGTGCGGACCCTACGGGTTCGAGAACTATGTAGACATGACCGAGACACCTCTCCGGTCAATAACCAATAGCGGAACCTGGATGCTTATATTGGCTCCTACATATTCTACGAAGATCTTTATCGGTCGAACCGTTATGACAACATACATTATTTCCTTTGTCCATCGGTATGTTACTTGCCCGAGATTCGATCGTCGGTATCCACATACCTAGTTCAATCTCATTACCGGCAAGTCTCTTTACTCGTTCCGTAATACATCATCTTGTAACTAACTCATTAGTCACTTTGCTTGCAAGGCTTCTTATGATGTGCATTACCGAGAGGGCCCAGAGATACCTCTCCGATACTCGGAGTGTCAAATCCTAATCTCGATTTCTGCCAACCCAACAAACACCTTCGGAATAGCTGTAGAGTATCTTTATAATAACGCAGTTACGGTGTGACTTTTGATAGCACACAAGGTATTCCTCCGGTATCCAGGAGTTGCATAATCTCATAGTCGAAGGAATATGTATTTGACATGAAGAAAGCAATAGCAATAAAATTGAACAATCAATATGCTAATCTAACGGATGGGTGTTGCATAATCTCCTAATGATGTGATCCCGTTCATCAAATGACAACACGTGTCTATGGTTAGGAAACTTAACCATCTTTGATTAACGAGCTAGTCTAGTAGAGGCTTACTAGGGACACAGTGTTTTGTCTATGTATCCACACATGTATCAAGTTTCCGGTTAATACAATTCTAGCATGAATAATAAATATTTATCATGATATAAGGAAATATATAACAACTTTATTATTGCCTCTAGGGCATATTTCCTTCATTTGGCTTGGTGGGTTTTGTTGTGTCTTTCTCAGTTCGGGCTGGGCATCCCTCTCTCTATGCTCTGGGTTCCATGATCATGCCTTCTTGCATTCATGCCATGTATAGTGTATTGTACCCTCTATTGTACTAACTTTCTCTTCTTCCATCAATGAAAAGATACGCAAGCTTTGCGTATCCGTTAAAAAAGAAAAAAATTGTTTGATTTACATGATGGCTACCAAATCCATAGGAAGGAAGTGGCGGTGCAGGAGTTCGCCATTTCATCGATTGGCATCGTCCAAGAGCTCCGCTACTCATAGTAGCTGACATGTTCTCCACTGGAAGACTGGCATGTATGAGACCGGATGAGGCAGCTACGAATCCCTACAGATCCTAATTTTGCTGTTGTTGCCAACATGCTAGATCAACCCCTTCTTGCACGGTTCAAGTCCGTTATGAATAGCATGCCATGTTGAGGATGCATTACCTGAAAACACAGTGTCCTCGAGAGCCCGGTTAGGTACTTTGCTTTCAGTACCTGGGTACACAGTGAGTCTGGTCAGGTGAGAAGCCTCCACACTTGGCTCACAAGTAATGCTTGATCGAAGAGATGAAAGTCCCAGTAACCCAGTCCACCCTGGCATTTTGGCTGAATAATTTTCGCCCATGCCATCCAGTGCACCTTTCACTTACCTTCTTTGAATCCCATTAGAAATTTCAAATGGATCTTATTAAATCATCACACTGACATCGGTTGTTTGAACACACTCATAATATATGTCGTGGTCGCTTGTGCAACTGATTGAATCAAGGTCTCTTTACTGGCCTAAGAGATGCCATCCCCCATATCAAGCTATGTTGGTGTAGTCCTTTCTTGCAAATTTTAAAATTTACCTTTGTGCATCTTGCCCTCTGGAGTTGGGAGACCAAGATACTATGATTCAAATTCAGTACTCACATTGTCCAGAACAAGTCTGGCCTCTTGCTGCATAGCCATGGAGCACCTCTCACCAAATTCTATTGAACATTTACGAGGATTAATATACTAACCAGTCATCTGAGCATGGCTAGCAATAAGTCCCTATAATTTGCTTGATGTGGGTTCACCTTCAAGAACAACATAGTGTCATCAGCAAAGAGAAGGCGGGAAATACCCAGAGATCTCCGACAGATTTTTAGTGGATCAAAAGCACATATTTCTGCATCCCATATGAGTAGCACGGACAAACCATCAGCCACCAATAAGAATAAGAACGAGGATAGGGGATCACTTTGCCGAAGCCCACACATCGGTGCAAACGGATCCAAGATGGCTCCATTGAATTTCATGGAGTATCTCAAAAAGATCGCATATGTCATTACCCGCAGTACGATTTGGTGAGCAAAGCCAAACTTTTCCATCGCCTGCCTTAAAAATTCCCAATCTGCACAGTCAAATGCTTTAGAAAAATCAAGTTTGTAAGCACAAAAGCTATTCCCTGAGTGTTGAAGAATCTTTAGTGATAAAATGGATCGAAGGTTTTATTGTAATTATGACTATAAGATAGTCTGAATTTGCAACGAACACATCAATTCCAGGTTATTATAAAACTTGAATTGTAATTATGACTATTAATACTTTGAGAGTGGTTGTTTGTGTGTGAGCTAGATTGAATATTTTCATCCCTTAATTGTTGGGTTAAATATAGGAGTCACACAATCATTTCTATATTTATAAGGCGTTGCATTGCACGTGCATGATTACTAGAGTCTATATGTTCCAAATATGGCTGTGAAAAAAGCATGTTCGTAAAAATTATTTGAAAGAAAGAAAACTTGTTTTCCCAGCAAACAACCAAACCCATGGGACCTTCTTCAACCCCAGGGCCTATTCCAATCAATAGAACTCAGTATTTTCAAATTAGAGTATTTACTTTATTAAACTAGAATGCTCCATTTTTATGTTCATATTATTAGCGACACTTTTTTGGGGGGCGAAGAGAGTAGGATACGACCGACCAAATTCAGAGTTTCGAATGGGGCTGGAAAGAGAGACTTTCGGGTGTGGAAACAGCGCCTGAAAAGGGGAGGCGGAATTGCGGACCTCCCCTCTGATTTCAAGGAGAAGGCGCCCACCGGCACCGCACCGCACCGCACCGGTTCCTCTCTGCGGCAGCAAACTCCTCCCATCCATCCCTCGTCCATCCTGGCTCAGGTTCGCACCGCCTCCACCCTCTCATCACCTCCTACCTACGCTTCGTCATTTTTGACTATATTTACTCCCCGGCGTGCGCCCATCGACCAAGGTAGCTGGGGTGATTCCGGTGTTGCTTTCCTCTCATGGCAGGCGCGAGAGGGTGGAGATGAGGAGGAAGGCGCTCGCACGGGGCTTCTCCGCCGACGGCGTCCTCCGCCGCAGCCGCCCGCTCCCAGCGCGCCGCCGGCCACCGAAGGGGACAATAATAGCACGAGCAAGGAAAAAAAGAAGGGCGAGATCACCAAGACCATCCGAGACAGGCTATCATCGTCTTTCTCTTCCCCCAGAAGCCGCCTCTCCTGCTGGACGAGCCATCCGATCCGGCGGAGCAGGAGGGGGAGCGGCACGGCCAGCGACGAACATGGCACGCCGGTGACGGCCAAGGCAATCAGGCCCCCCTCAAGGAAGGTGGTCGCGGCAGGGACCAGATCCCTGATCGAACGCAACGATTTCTACAGCCAAGAATGCAACACGCACAAGTAGGGAGCCTGCTTTTTTCTCTTCTCGGATGCTATCCCTGTTTTGGGTGTGAGACTAAAATTGTACCACGAGACATTGCCCCCTTTGGGACGAGATGTATTTTAGTTCTAGATATATTCATTTCTGCGACGAGTAATTTGGAACGGAGTGAGTACCAGTTTCCCCGGGTAATATACGTACCAATTCGAAGCTTTGTAGTAGTAGTAGTAGTACAAAATTGTGCAATTTCATGAGTTCCAAACCATGAAACCATAGCCAGAATCCACGCCGTGTTGCTTGTATGTCTACTACCAGGCAGTATTATGCAGTCGTACACCAGTTTTAGTAACTCCCACCAAAGTGCCTCTCTGTCGAATCGAATCAGATGACAAAATTGGCACTGAGAGATGCTATGCAAGTGAGATCGATCCTTGGATCTTCATAATGGAAAACAGATTGTCTGGCAGGCAGGCTGAATCGAATCTTTCCACTAGACGGAAAGGTCTCACATATCGGACAGATGGGTGAGAAGTGATTCAGTGCTCCTCTCACAAGGCAATGCATATAAATAAAACCTGTGTAAAGCACAACAGGTGTCTAATCTGCAGCTACCACCTAAACACCAATTTAAATCATCACCGGGAAACTGCTTTCTGGTTGTCAAAGATTCAAGCTAAAGAACATAACTGTATCAGCAACAGTAATGGTGATTAAGACCAATTTCAATTACGTAAAGCATTCCACATATAACTAATGCTAGAACCAAGGAACACTAAACCATCTAGCACAAAACGGGCAGATGCCTGCCATTCTCCGTGCGGACTACTTGGACATTGCACTGCTACTTCCCTATGGAAGTTGCGTTGGTGCAGACTACATCATCCTCCAAATCTTTCGAGCCTCCTACGGCGGATCTCCTCGACTGAGAGCTCGTTGTTTCCATCGTCTTGGAGATGCCGTCTGCGGGAAAAGGCATGGTCCGGGTGCGGAGTGCTGCACATCTCACAGACATCTGTGTAACGCGAGTTGTCACAAGAACATGTTATGCATCTCCACCGCATACCTTGCCCAACCTCTTCTTGCGCCGGTGCAACATGGCGCCGGACACTGCTCCCCCGAATATGTGCTGCTGGCCTTAGAAGTTTCTTAGCAAATCTCGCCGGCTGACTCACGACGTCTGCAATGCCTGAAAACATAGGAACGAGACGTTCTGGACCGTGCCTCAGTAAAAGGTAGGCCAGGCCAGCAAGTATCCCACCAACATTGCAAATCAAGTGCGCCTCCGGATTGAAAGCATGGACGAGTACTAGTTCAAGCAATGTCGCATACTTTGCAGGAACGGTCACCCCATGCCAGACAACATCGCCTTCTCGGGCATTCAGCACAACATTCATGCCAAGCAGCACTCCACTAAATCCAGCAGAATACTGATAATACGCCATGTCGTTGCCGAGCGAAAGCAAGCCCTTAGACAAGAGCAGTGTGAAGCCCTGAGAAAGGCCAAGCAAGGAAACCACCATGCAAGCAAACTCGGGACTGCCCATTGATGTTTCAAGCTTTGCCCCCGTGCGCAAGAGAGAAGCCATGTTCATGAAGAAGTGACCTTCACTCAAGTGGTAGAAAGCTGAGAGGAAGAAACGTCTCAGGTCGCCGAACTGCAACAATGTTCATAACTGTTAGTACTTTTTAGAGTGGTGGATATATAAAACTCTGGAAATGATGCTTAGAAAAGTCTGAAAAGAACAACTTGCAATTACTTGCAGTACGACATTCAAAGCACATCATCTGCACCCTGCTGGTAGGGAAACAATGCAACAGGAGAAGCACAACATTGTGAATGGTGTAGCGTGCATTTTACCAATTCTGTAAAGTGAGCCATGGGCATGGGGTGCAAAACTTGCGCATCATGTCATTTAGATCCTTTTTGTGTGTGTGCGAAAATGTCATTTTGATCCATGATCTAGACAACTGGACAAGTGAGTCCCTAAACTTGTATACAGACATAGGGTCAATCTCTGCTTCAACAGCGTTATGTTGAACTAAATAAGAGAAAATTTAGCCAACTCTAATAGAGTATTGTTGCCAAATACTACCAATAGGGAATCCCAATTATAATTAGGGTCGGAATCCTGCTCCTATGCAGCATTGCTCAGTAATCATCTTATAAATTTCGCCCAATTGCAAGCTAGGCAGATCAAAAGCATAAGTTTTATTAGCTAAACCCAACAATGCGGCAACCGGAGACAAAAATATCGGCACAACATAATGTGGTGCTGAACTCCGCAACCCTGTACCCCTGGATAAGGGTGCTCAATGTAATTTGTTCAGTAGCCAACTGAATCCAAACATAATTCCATGGCAAAAGAAAAGATAACATGCACATAATTCCGCCATCTAATCAGCCGGTTGCTTAGTCAGGTCTGACTTAATATACTTGGATATGGCCTATTCGAGGCATTTAGCTATGTAAATGTGCTGTTTTTCCCTGTCTGCCTTAGGGCTTCAGACCTTTCTCTTGTAAATGTCTAATCTATAATGCGAAGGCAGAGCACCTGCCATTAGCCCTAAAAAAATCAGCCGGTTGAGGCGTGGTGGTGTAGGTGGGTACCTTGATGATGAGATGGGGGTTGAACATGACGTGCCGGAGCCGGGGTAGGTGCGTGTCGACGGCGCCCGGGCGGAAGTACACCAGCGCGTTGGCGGCGACCAGCGCGGCCGTCAAGGGCGGGCGGCTTGCGTCGGCCGGGCCGTACTGTAGAAGCATCTGCACAGCCAACAGCGGCAGCGTCCGGCCGGCGAAGTACTGCCGGCCGCTGCTCATGCCGATCCCCATCGCCGAGATCGATGGACCGGTGTGGTCGGAAGACGGACAGGCCCGTGGCGAAGGCTTTGTTTTTTCTTACTGACAAGACAATCCTTAGCGAAGGCCTTTTCTCTCTTCAGATTCAGCAATATATACTGCTTCCTCTTATTTTTAGATGGTAGAAGAATAAATTCTTTGGCAAGAAAACATCGTTTTGGACATTGACGCTGACTCTGCAATTACGCTATAACCATCATTTTTTATTAAAAGATAACATACTTTCTCTCCTTCAAATCAATTGAAGCTTTAGTTTAACTTCCAAGTCAAACTTCCTAGTTTGATTAATTTTACTAGAACAATGCATGTGCGTTGCAATGAGATATAAATATTTTAATACGTTAGCTTGTGATTTACCTGTCAATAATAATGTGATTGTGTAAATAAATGTTTATCAAATTCTGCATGTGAATTACTTTATATTTTGATTAGAAATTTGGTAAGTAAATCAAAGTGGAATTGATTCAGAATGTAAGTAAATTGAGGTGATTGATTATCATATACATGAAAGGTTGGACGAAGGGATAGTGAGAAGAAAGGTGAAATGAGAATCTAATGGGAACCTTACGTTGAGTAGTAGAGATAAAAACTACATCATCCACAAATTAATTTATCGTTTTCGAAGAAAGAGAACCATCTGGCTACGGTTTCTCGTGCCTATCGTCGTGCTGCCGCCAGTCTACCTCGTCTTATGTGGTCTTAGGGCCATGGTGGCGCGATAGATTTCGACCCTTGCTGGTGGGAGGTCTCCGGTTTTTCATAATTTCTTGAGTTTTGTTAGGGTTTATGTCCTGCTCAGAAAGTCGAGGTGAAGGCGGCTCTCTGAAGATGGAATAAGGTTCTCTCCATCTAGTCTCCATTCTAATGGTGTTTCTAGCATCATCGGAGGACGTGTGGAGTTTGTCTCTGGCGGATCTCGCGGGATTCGTTCAGACGTCTTCGGTGGATCCACGTGGATCCTGTCTTTGTTCGTATGTCTACGGGTTGGATCATTTTGATCTACACTTCTATTGATTGTTTGTTCTGGTGCACTGGTCTTATGGGCCTTAGCACGACGACTTCCCGACTGTTTACTACAAAAAAGTTTGGCCGACTCCGATGAGGGAGGGATGAAGACAGCGGCGCGCCTTCGGCTCACTCCAGTATTTGTAGTCGTGGCTAAGTGGTCTATGGACCTGAATGTATTTTTTACTTCCGGTGTTCTTTATACTACCTTGATAATTGAAGAATAGATCGAAAGTTTTTCCTCGCAACAAAACTAAATCTCATCTAGGTAACATTAGCGTGGAAAAAATAAAAAAGAAAGAGAAAACACACATGGATTTTCACGTAAAATCAAATGACATAGGAGTTAGACGAGACATTGTTAAATCTTATCTAGATAGAAAACTTGGTTGGTTATAGTAAAGTTTGACTTGAGATAAAGATGAGACTTCTAATTTGAAATGGAGTATGTTTCTTGTCTTAAAATTTTCCTCGTAATGTTGAATCTCAGTTTCAAACTTCTATGAATGTATCCAGCATAGAAACATAACTATCTTTTTAACCATAGTGGCAATGACATGGTACAAGTCTTTTCCACTTTTTGTCACTAATAGATTACTTGCAAGATTGAACTCAACTAATATATACAACTCTCTCTTGGAGATCATTCATCTAAATATGGCCAGTGCAAGACTAATAGATTGGAGAGCATATATGTGCACAAATTATGCAACAAGAACTAAAAATCCAAAACAATCATGTATATATATGATCATGAAGTGATAACAAACACACCAAGATTTACATCAGATTGATCTCAATCATGCAGGGCGGCTCATTAGATCTTTGTATTGAAGAACAGGGGGGAGAAGATGTCATCTAAGCTACTGTTATGGGCCCATAGTCCAAGGAGGACTACTCATTCATGGTCATAGTGGTAGCAAGCTTGATAAAAATATCTCCGGTGATGGATGCCCCTTCTGCAGAGTACCGGACCAGGCCTCCAGATTGGATATCCACCAAATAGAGAGGAGGTTGTGGCGAAAAATTCCTCCACAAATCTGTTGAGAATATTCGGGTCAATATAAAGGTGGCAAAATGAAGAGGCAGTGGAGAGGTGCCCTTTGGGTCCCACATGGCCTCGTGACTCGGCCAGGGAACTGGCTGTGTGGGGCCCATAGGGGGCCTCTTCGTTGTTTGTTGGCTCCCTGGCTCTGTCTTGGTCTAAAACTTCATGGTGTATTTTTCTTTTATTTTTCAGGCCCACGAAATTAGCAATTATGATAAAGTGGCATGAAAAAAGGAAATATATAGATACGTTTAAGACGTATCAGTCCTCCCGCTAGCCCACCCCCTCCTCCCCCATGCAGCAAACAACTCTACCCATGCTTATGTGGGATTATACAAAGATGATATTACAACGGAGAAAGACAATGGTACCTTCGGCGAGTTAGATCAGATATTGAAGGAAATATGCCCTAGAGACAATAATAAAGTTGTTATTTATATTTCCTTATATCATAATAAATGTTTATTATTCATGCTAGAATTGTATTAACCGGAAACTTAGTACATGTGTGAATACATAGACAAACAGAGTGTCCCTAGTATGCCTCTACTAGACTAGCTCGTTAATCAAAGATGTTAAGTTTCCTAGCCATAGACATGTGTTGTCATTTGATGAATGGGATCACATCATTAGAGAATAATGTGATGGACAAGACCCATCCGTTAGCTTAGCACTATGATCGTTTAGTTTATTGCTACTGCTTTCTTCATGACTTATACATGTTCCTATGACTATGAGATTATGCAACTCCTGAATACCAGAGAAACACTTAGTGTGTTATCAAACGTCACAACGTAACTGGGTGATTATAAAGATGATCTACAGGTGTCTCCGATGGTATTTGTTGAGTTGGCATAGATCGGGATTAGGATTTGTCACTCCGATTGTCGGAGAGGTATCTCTGGGCCCTCTCGGTAATGCACATCACTATAAGCCTTGCAGGCAATGTGACTAATGAGTTAGTTGTGGGATGTTGCATTATGGAACGATTAAAGAACCTTGCCGGTGACGAGATTGAACTAGGTATGATGATACTGACGATCGAAACTTGGGCAAGTAACATACCGATGACAAAGGGAACAACGTATGTTGTTATGCGGTTTGACCGATAAAAATCTTCGTAGAATATGTAGGAGCCAATATGAGCATCCAGGTTCCACTATTGGTTATTGACCGGAGATGTGTCTCGGTCATGTCTACATAGTTCTCGAACCCGTAGGGTCCGCACGCTTAACGTTCGATGACGATTTGTATTATGAGTTATGTGATTTGATGTACCTAAGGTTGTTCGGAGTGCCGGATGAGATCACGAACATGACGAGGAGTCTCGAAATGGTCGAGATGTAAAGATCGATATATTGGAAGGCTATATTCGGACATCGGAAAGGTTCCGGGTGATTCGGGTATTTTTTCGGAGTACCGGAGAGTTACGGGAATTCGCCGGGGGAAGTAGTTGGCCTTAATGGGACATATGGGAAAGGAGAGAAGGGCCTCAAGGGGTGGCTGCGCGCCCCCCATGGGCTAGTCCAAATTGGACTAGGAGGGGCGCCGCCGCCTCTTTCCTTCTCCCTCTACCTCTCCTTCCTTCTTCTCCTACTTGGACTAGGAAAGGGGGAAACCTACTCATACTAGGAGTAGGAATCCTCCCTTTGGGCGCGCCCCTTGAGGCCGGCCCTCCTCCTCCTCCCCTCCTTTATATACGAGGGAGGGGGCACCCCATAAACACACAAGTTGATTGTTTAGCCGTGTGCGGTGCCCTCCTCCATAGATTTCCACCTCGGTCATATTGTTGTAGTGTTTAGGCGAAGCCCTGCGTCGGTAACTTCATCATCACCATCATCACGCCGTCGTGCTGACGAAGCTCTCCCTCGACACTCAGCTGCATCTAGAGTTCGTGGGACGTCACCGAGCTGAACGTGTGCATATTGTGGAGGTACGTACCTTCGGTGCTAGGATCAGTCGGATCGTGAAGACGTACGACTACATCAACCGTGTTGTCATAACGCTTCCACTTACAGTCTACAAGGGTACGTGGACAACACTCTCCCCTCTCGTTGCTATGCATCACCTAGATGGATCTTGCGTGTGCGTAGGAAATTTTTGAAATTGCTGTGTTTCCCAACAGTGGCATCCGAGCCAGGTCTATGCGTAGTTGTTATATGCACGAGTAGAACACAAAGAAGTTGTGGGCATGGGTATATACATATTGCTTGTCATCACTAGTTGATTCTTGATTCAGCGGTATTGTTGGATGAAGCGGCTCAGACCGACATTACGCGTATGCTTACGCGAGACTGGTTCTACCGACGTGCTTCGCACACAGGTGGCTAGTGGGTGTCTGTTTCTCCAACTTTAGTTGAATCAGATTCAATGAACAGGGTTCTTTCTGAATATCAAAAAGCAATCACTATACCGCGTTGTGGTTTTTGATGCGTAGGTAAGAACGGTTCTTCCTCAGCCCGTAGCAGCCACATAAAACTTGCAACAACAAAGTAGAGGATGTCTAACTTGTTTTTGCAGGGCATGTTGTGATGTGATATGGTCAAGACATGATGAGATATAAATTGTTGTATAAGATGATCATATTTTGTTGAAGTTATCGGCAACTGGTAGGAGCCTTATGGTTGTCTCTTTATTGCATAAGATGCAAGCGCCATATAATTGCTTTACTTTATCGTTATGCAATAGCAATAGTTGCAAAAGTAATAGTTGGCCAGCCGACCATGTGACGACACGTTGATAAAAGATCAAGATGATGGAGATCATGGTGTCATGCCGGTGAAGATGGAGATCATGATGGTACTTTGGAGATGGAGATCAAAGGCACAAGATGATGATGGCCATATCATGTCACATATTTTGATTGCATGTGATGTTTATCTTTTATGCATCCTATTTTGCTTAGTACGGTGGTAGCATT